TTGTCGCGAGCAAAGAAAGGTTTCTTCTGTATTGGGAATTTAACCTTGATGAGAGCAGCAAATGATGTTTGGTCAAAAATTTTAGATGATATGGAACAAAGGGGTTGTGTTGGAAAATCCCTACCACTGGCATGTCAAAATTATCCGACAACAATCACCCATGTTAGTAACGACTATGATTTCAACAAAGCGCCGAACGGTGGCTGCAACGTCCTCTGTGGAACAAGACTGGTTTGTGGTCATAGATGCGAGCAGCTGTGTCATCCAACTGATCCTAATCACGAAGAATACGTCTGCAGGAAACCATGTCCAAAAAAATGCGAACGTGGTCATCGGTGTAAACGTCGTTGCTACCAGGAGTGCAATAAATGTATGGATGAGACTTTCAAGGTTGTCCCCCGTTGCCGACATGTTCTCGCCATGCCCTTTCATCAGGATCCCTCCACTTTTCAGTGTACCAAGCCATGTCCAAAGAAGCTTCGTTGTGGTCATGCATGTCCAAATAAATGTGGAGAACCTTGCGCAAGAAAATGCATAGAGGAGGTTCTCAAACGTTGGTCTCCATGCCACCATACATGCAAAACTCGATGTCATGTTGATCCTGCAAAGACCGAGTGCCCGCATCCTTGTAAAAGTTTACTGACATGCGAACACATCTGTCAAGGAACAGTAAGTAATTGAGCATTAGTGAGCTTAAATTAGGCAAGCGACGTGTTTTTCAACACGGACGTCGCCCGAAAATTGATATTCACCGTACTGTACCGTGCCGAAACAAAATCGTATGTTCTGTCAAATGTGTTGAAGATTACCACAAACTCGCGTGTTGACACTTTACAAAACTTTACGAAATTATACTTTTTCCAAATTTGAGATTCTCTGCAATAAACCACACGCAAGGAAGTGAAGTATATATGGCTCCTCACAAATTTTTGTATGGCATTCCTATAATGCAGAATTCAAGTTACTCGAATGTGAATAGCATTTTTAATAAGGTTCGTGATAAAATGAGTTATTTATTTTGTGCTTCAATTCAAAATTCTGAACATGCAATGGGGTGCCATCATGTATTATTAGAACACCTTGATCAATAGTTTTCTACATATACCGGTCTTCGATTTATCTGGTTGCAAATCTCAGATATAATCAAAATTGTTATATTGCCCTATACCAACATACAATACCTTGGGATAAATGTAATATTTTTCAATAATATTTCAATCATAACGTACTTGGGCAAAACATTGCCACGTAGTGCTACCTCTATCTTCAGTTTCTACGGTCCGGAAAACCAAGGCAAACCCTCTAATTGTACATTTGACGTCCAATTTTCGTCACAATTCAACCAAAATGTGATTACAAATTTTCGAAACACTTCGGTAGAATTTTAGGTCATCCTGCTCACAGACAAACAAACCCACACAAAAATATAACATTACGGAGATAATAACATTTTCAGCAAGTATAAACTGCACGTCATATGAATACACCAACAGATTTTTTCAGCTATGTGGAGCATGGTTTCTTAATAATTTTAGAACTACTCTCAATTTTCTACGATTTTTTTGCTTATTTTAGGGACTTGTGGTGGATGCAAACAAGGACGGGTTCATCAACCTTGTGCTTCAAAATGTGGCCGTGTCATGTTTTGCGACCACAACTGCAAAGTGCCTTGTACAAAAAACTGTCCACCATGTCCTGAAAAGTGCGAAAACAGGTGCTCTCATAGCGATTGTCACTACAAATGTGGACAGCCATGTACGGAATGCAACGAACCTTGCCAGTGGAAGTGCAGGCATTGGGAATGCACCAAGTTATGTGGTGAGATGTGTAACCGGCCTCGCTGTAGCGAGCCATGTATGAAAAGATTGAAGAAATGTGGTCACCGGTGTGCTGGCCTGTGTGGCGAACCATGCCCAAAGAAGTGTCTGGTTTGCGACAAAGATGAACTGACCGAAATTTTGTTTGGCTATGAGGATGAAGAAGGAGCAAGATTTTTAGAGTTAGCTGATTGTGGCCACGTATTTGAAGTGAATGGAATGGATGGCTATATAGACACGCAAGAGAAGGAGATGAAAAAAGGTCAATCTACAAGCATACAGATGATCAAATGCCCAAGATGTAAAAAAGCAATACGCACAAGTCTGAGATATGGTTTGTATTCCAAATATATATTTTATCCTATTAAATGAGTTACGATAATCTGTATCGATTTGAGCTTACTAATATTAGTGGGGCGGATAAGCGCACAGTTTCTCAATAATTGTGCATGCAGTTAGTGATTCGGAAAGCATGATGATATATTGACAGTATGTACAGACTTTAAAACAAGTATATGAATATCAGATATGCAGGCATCTGTGAAATTAAAGCTGATAACTAAAAATTTTGAATTTCTGACATTTTAATATAAACTGGCTTTTATTACTGATAGAAATTTTAAAATTCCAAGGCAGCTCACAGAAAAAAAGTTGTATGGTTGAAACGTACACAAAAATTGTCTATAGAATATTAATTAATTAAAGCAGTTTTTGATTTGCCAATTAAGTCGTTTTTAAGTTAATCAATTTCGAAATCGCACAAAATAGATAAAAAGTAGGTGCAAAGACTGGCACTAGCTTCAAATCGCTTTTTGCTCAGGAAATATTTGGAAAATAAAAACTGCTTCAATGTTCTGTATGCATTTGTGTCTATTATTTTGCCATAGAAGTGATAAAACTCATTTTTCTAGTGAATTAAGTACTTCAGAATTCGAGCAGTAGTAGAAATGTATAATAAAATGTCAGAAATTCCAAATTTTTTGCTATTAGCGCTAATTTCACAGATGCCTCCATATCTGATATGCATATACTTGTGTCAAAGTCTACACGTCCTATCAATATGATGGTTTCCCTACAAAATGCACAATAAACTTATCCGCCCACTATATTGAAATATATAGTTTTCTCGTTTTCCATTTTTGCCGACGTTTTAATACCTAATAATACAGTTTGAATACGAGTGATTCCCTCCATATACAGGTGTACTGTATAGTCCAATTATTGAATATTAGATTCAGACGGAACCAAAGTATAAAGTCTTTCAGTAGAAGTAATATATGAGGGATATTAGAGGGTTGCGAGGAGATATGGATTTTATGTTCGAGTCGCAAAAACAATATTTTGACACGAGAACATAAATCCATATCTTCTTTACTTTAAGCTCCCGCCATTTTGACGAGTCGTATTTGCATTAAATCCCATTTACTGAGTTTCGAATATCGGGTTAAAATAAACTGCGATACCGTACGAGAAGCATTTTGACGGATGCGATTTATCGAAAACACAAGGAGTGCAATGGAATAAAACGTATAGTACAACTGCACTCGCAAGAGTGCAATGGAACGTATTCCATTGCACTCTTGGGAAATGGAATTTTCTATTCAATATCACGTGACCATAAACAGCCAATTAAACGATCAGAATTCAATAAGGTATTATATAAATTTTTATATATCCCTGACAAAGGTGTGCAACGATCTTTTTCTATACTTTAGGAAATATCATCAAGGCAATCCTTCATGACTTTGAAGGAGTTAAGAAAACCATATCTTCTAGAGGTGCTGCGTCTATGAGAATGTTTGGAGCAAAAGTGAGACAAGATATTGCGAGCGGCGACACGGTAACCGAGTTTCCCGCAGAAATCTTAAACATCGAACGAAAGTTAGAAAGATTAACAACAAGCGAAGAACAAAATGTCATTAAAAATCAAGTTCAATTCCTGAAATTTATGACCAAATTGAAAGAAATTATCAACCAAGCAGAATCAGTGAAGCGCGGACCTGTTCATCACAGAAATTATTTTTGGGAAGCTAACGTAAGTGTCGATGATCCAGAAATAGAATTGATGAAGTGTGAACTGGATGGCTTGTTGAAATGGGTAACCAGGGATCGGAGGCGATTCAGCGAGCAAGAACTGGAGGAATTTAACGAAGAACTTCATCGTGCGTGGCTGATGCTCTCATACCTGGCTTTAAAATTAGAAATAAGAAAAGGAAAGATCAGCCTATCCGAAAGCGAGACTAGATATATGGCATACGTGACGGGAAATCTTGAAACTGGAGCTAAACTTAGTAAGTAGATTTTCGGTCGTACAAAAGCCTCGTGCGTACGCACCCGAGGTGTTAAATTACGCCAAACATGCGTGCGATTTCCATTTATACTTCTCAATCAATATAACTTCCAATACAAATTGCACTTCACTATTACTAGATAATAGTTAGTTCATTGCAATTCCCTGTAAAATGTTATTCCGTTGGCGTATTTCAAGACGTACAGCGCCCTGCGTATTTTTAATTTTCTGCCCGTATGGCTCGTATAAGCAGGGCCCTTATATGTCTCCAGTGAAATATTTTATTTTCTTGCTCTTGTTCATGCACCTTTTTCCTACAAGCCAACAACCACGTAATCCGGCCTTATAAACATGTGTTTAAGTGCAACATTTAATTAAGTTACTGTATGTATTTAGGCGAGAAGATTAAAAAGAATTGCTCAACATGTCTTGAGCACATTACACGTAACAAAGCACTCGGCGTAAAGTACACAGCCATAACTGAAGAGGAAAAGAAAATCATTGTGAAAGCCATTGGTCTCGCGCAGGGTCACTGGTTTAAATGTCCTAAAGGTAAATGATATAGCAAGCAGCTAATAACAAAAATTTGGTTTGTATGAATGCAACTATCCGAAAAATACAAGGAGAAAATTATATGTTTCGAAAAAAAATAATTGATTTTTTCATGTCCCTGCTATACTAACTTCCCGACAAAGGAAGCATTAATATATATGCGTTGTTTGATATTTTTCACTATAAGATAAAATTTTGGGATTGTTTTGTTTTTCGTGTTTTTGATTGTTTTGAAATGAATTAGTATAATTAGCTAGATTATGATCTAAAATCCTCAAATCCCAAAGTGAGAAAAGTATAAATGCGTTAAAACACATTTTTCAATCAAACTTTTCGTGGTAATAATAAGATGCAGTTTGCAATGATCGCAACATTAATGCCTTATAATGGTTTTATTAAATTTTTTCCAAAACTCTTTAGTAATTCATGAACATTGCAACCTGTCGTATTGTCGATAATAGAGAGTTTAAGTTCGACTTCCGATACCAATACCGATACTAACAACATGTCATGTGCATGCTCTCGGCTCGCAAGAAGCACGAGGACAAGTGTATTGGAAGTCACCACTACCGAAGTCGGCCTTGTATTGGAAGTCGGGGGAATTGTAAGATAAACTCATATAAATCGGATATTTCATAATTTTTACGATAAACATGTAAACTATTTGTTTATTAGCATCGCCTGAGTCATGTTTTAGTTGGAATTTTAGCTCAGCTGCCGTTTAGTATACTGCACATTTTCGGCGACGATTAATGTGTTCTATACTTTATCTGTCGTGATAACTTAACGCTTTAAAATTACCGGTACCAAAATGAGAACGGAAGTGAAAACATTGGTATCGGTATTGGTATTGGTATTGGAAGTCGAACTTAAACTCTCTATCAATCACACGCATACACCTTTAAAACCAGTAACAGGCTACAATATTAAAAGCCTGGGGACGGTATTTGATTTCAGTCCCAGCCGACCCAGGGGAGAGAGGGGCTGAATGTGTTTTCACTTCATTAGTATTCTTTATATAAAATTTCACCCTTATTAGTATTCTTTATATATAAAGAATACTAATATAGGTGAAGTTTAAAATAAAGAATACTAATAAAGGTGAAGTTTTATATAAAGAATACTAATGAGGTTAAACAACTTCCTTCATACCCCTGCGATTCAATAAATCCAAAAGCCTGCTGTAATCCCACAACATTTTTCTCTGTCCGCTGTGATTCCTTCTTTCTTGGGCCTACTTATAGCTTCACTTATTGGCAATGCCTTCGTAATTCGCTTGTCTCATTTCACCATTCAAGGCCCGTCTGAAAGTAGCAAATCTAAACAAAATACATTAAAGCGAATGATTATGGCCCAATATTTCACTTAATGCCTCAATTACCTAGAAAATACTTACTGCATGCCAATTACTATCTTTATACCTGTTATCCTTCTTGCCCAAAATCGTAAACGCATTTATACCATTACACCCCGCTACATGGCGTTGAATACCACAACAAATACTGTATTATAAAAGCGTTCGAGGGGGAAAACATTCTCCATCCTCTTTACACACTTCCATAACAAATTTCGTTAACCTGAAATTGAGTGTCTTTGCCGACATGTTATTATAAGTAATAGCATAGAAAGAGGCGAATTAGCTATTAAAACGTCCCGCCCGATGAGGGTCATTTAATAAAATTCCCTTGGGCGCCGCTCGATGAGGGTCATTTAGTAAAATTCCCGAGGGCCGAAGGCCCGAGGGAATTTTACTAAATGCCCCGAATCGAGCGGCGCCCAAGGGAATTTTACTAAACGACCTCATCGGGCGGGACGTTTTCAATAGCTAATTCGCCTCTTTCTATGCTATTACCTTGTAATATCATGATTGCGGGTATTCCCGTTGTTCTCGCAGGGCCATTAAAAACCAATTAACAATAAATAATGGTATAAATTAAATGGTATAATTGTTTTCCATGTCTTTGTTTAGTTTTGGCGATTTCATATATATTCATTTTTTCTAATCGTACCCGCTTTGACGTCGTTTCGGGTAGGATTACAACTAATTCTACCTGACATGACGTAAAAGCGGGTAGGATTAGAAAAAAATGAATATAATGAGGTGTATTAGTTATTAATTGCCCTGCGAGAACAAAGGGAATACCCGCAATCATGATATTATTCGAGTAATACTGGAAACATGCATGTACACATCTAGCTCGTTCACATCTACAAACTGCGTAACTGCTTATGATTTAAATGTAATATATCCGTCATTTTCTTTGTCAAACTACAAACATGTTCAGAATCCAGGCCTCAAATTCCGGGCTATGCCAAGATATGACATATATGGACTTTGGCGTCAGACAGCGCCGTAATGATTAGATGATTATGCTTTTTATTGGTTAAATTTTAAGTATTAGTGCAAATTAATTATTAATATTGTTAATTGTTTTACAAAATTAATGCATTATATATACTATTGAATGTATTATAACTATGGAGAATTACTACTTTATCGATTTTGTTCATGGTCTATCTACTAGCATTTACTCTGGTCATAGTTATAAAAGCGGTTATTGTAACCCGATCTCTTGAAGCATTTCGCAGCTTCAGCATCACAATCACACAACCCTTTGCGGCAATTCACTGATTCGTATCCCAATTTATCCCACCAAGAGTACTCGCTCGTCGCAGCTAAATTAAAAGAAAAACGTTATGCATCGGTTATACTGGTAACAATAATGTACCATACGTTCAATTGAAAAATATCTTCAGAAATCTGATAAATCGTATGGTATACACAACTGAGCAAAGCATCTCGAGGTCATTTAACTAGTCAAGAATAGCGTGCGTGGGTGAATATTTGTAGTTGCGCGGATGACGCTAATTTGGGTAATATTACGTCTATAACTAATTGTAAGATCAGTAAATCGGTCATATAAATTAGCATGCTTTTAGCAATTAGCCTGCTTCTAGTTTTCGTTTGGACGCGGTGGTGAGTATTCAGTCCAACAAGTAGTGTCTTCGGTAAGGTACGCAGATTAGCGCTAACCGAGCTTTGAAGAACCGGATGCGCACTCCGTTACACATGCATTATGGTTGTGGTGTGTGCCTTTAATTCAGGACAGAAAATAGAGCAGCCTGTTAATGAATTTTGCAGATGGAAACTGCTACTCAAATCTAATACAATTTTTAGACTCAGCCAATAGCAGCGGCAAAAAAATGCAACCATAGGCCTTTTGACAGGAATCGGATCTGCGGGCTGTGATTCAGTTGCGGGGCTCTAACCAAATGAAGTACAAAGTCCGGTTTTCCTCAAAGTGTACACGTAGGTTCATTTATTTATACTGAAGTGATGCCATGGTAAGGTATAAGAGACCGTTTATTATTTATACTCGCGGTTGGTACTGAAGAGAAGCGAAAAACAGTGTAAATATTTTATTTACCCAACCTCAACATTGGTCAAAATAATGTTTACCCCGACCCATGTGTTACTGTACTTCATAATAATTAAACACACAAAATTATGGTGACAGAAATCAAGTTGCCTAAATTCTAAAAGCTCACTCAGATTCAAACTCACTGAGTGTGCCAAAGCAATCACGTTCCTGCTGATCAATGATAGAGTCCCTCCTCGATCACTGATGGTCTATCAGTTTTGGTACATAATGTATTGTACATATTTTTCTTCATATTTTCCAATGCATGGTAATTTTGGATTTTTTTTTATAGCTGACAGACAGCCATATTTTTTTTACCCAAGCTAGTCAAAAACTTGATTACCCAAAGCATATCTCTTCGGTACCAACGCCGGGTATAACTAATGAACGGTCCCTAAGGGTAAATATCATGATTTGCTCCTGGCCAGGTTTAAATAATTGTGTATATCCAATTTACACTCGAGTTTTCCATCTACAATATATCCTTGAACAATCGTTCAGTCGGATGAGATGCCCAAATATTGTGATGTTGACCAATAGAGTAGCTTTCTGGGTCATATTAATTAAAGCCTGATTCGCTATGTGACCCCCATTTTTGAATTTGAAATATTACATAAAATCTTACCGCAATTGGAGCAACCATGATATTTGAAAGTGATCGTATAGGTGGACAACTGTAATTTACATTTCTTGTTCGTGATAAGGTCGCCATAACAATTGTCATGTTTCTGACAGCAACTACAAATTAGAAGATATATGTTACGGACCAATAACCTGACATTAAGATGACATGTCGTCAAAAGACTGCCGTCTGCTCAATTTTTAGAAATTCCAGATTATGTCAGACTGAACCTGGAACAGTTTCTTAATCGCAGCGAGTAATTTTCACAAAATAACAAATGTCTCGGCATGTTAAAAAACAGTGGCCTGACGCTTCTGCTCTGTATAGACATGGGATACTGGAGTAGTCTTGTGACAACCGCCTAGCTGGGACAACCTATTCCACGTCAACACTTTGAGCCAAGACAACTTTGTACCGGGATGATCGGGTTTTTTTAATATACAAGAGTAACAGGACACCTTTTGCTGTGAAACTGACAAGAAATAAAATATATTAATTTTAGGACATATTTTGGAAAATTTAAAATTGGGTTGCAATCACGCCGATGCCTAATGCCAGTGACAGGTTGAACATACGTTTCCGAAGGTACAAGTGTCTTAAATTAAAGCCAAATAGTTGCATCGAATAGTTGTTAGCCTGAGCACAGACAGAATCGTAAATCCTACTAGGTAGAAAGTAATTCTTGTTGCGTTGAATTGATTATAATGTAAGATGATTTATATGATACTACTTATGTGGTCATCAAAAGGATTTTTCATTGAGATCAAATTTGATTTAGACTGGTTATGTGAAGTTGAATGTGGACGGTACAATGGAGCCATGAACACAATTTTAGAATAGAAAGATCAAAATAATTTAAAATTATTGTCTAAACTGTCAATTTATGATAAATTATTTACATATGATATGTTAGTAAGTGACATGTGCAATAATTGCAATTTTTGAGAGCTACCAATAAATGCAGTTTTTGATATCCAACATCAAGGAAGATTACAAAATCCCAAATAGGGTTATTTACATTTTATAAACTCTTGGTTAACTGTTGCTATTATTTATTTAAAGGATTCATGGTTTCTGATAGGCTAACAGCCACCTGTGAAATCGTCATAATTGTCAGCTCAGTTAAAGAAGTGACGTCATCACGTTGATAATGAAAAATAGCTTAGGCTGCTGTAATAGTACGAGGTGACCGTCGTGTATAGCATGAGGTGGCCATTTAATAGCTTAGCTTTGCGACTGTTTTTTTTCAAAAGATGGCCAGTTTTGTTATTCGCCTATTATGATGCCATGCACCATATTAAAAGCGTGTGTCTCTAAAAACCGTCCACTGACTTGGGGCTCGAAAAATAAATTTCTTCGAAACTTTTACCGTGAACTACATTTACTTTAACAACAAACAAATGCTGCTTGGAATTTTCATAATATATTTAGTTTCAAAGTTTTAGCGATTTTTTGGTCTCGCACCGTCGCGGGAAAAATTCGCCGGCTAATTTAAAGGAAAAAATGGGCTGAATTTAAATAATATTCAATTACTTTATGGTTTCCGTGTTTGGATGGCCTGATCCAAACACGCGGGAATGTTGCGAGAGTTAAGAAAAGCGAGCGAAACCACGAGCCGAAGGCGAGTGATTTTGCCCGCTTTTCTTAACTCGAGCAACATTCCCAAGTGTTTGGATCAGTCCATCCAAACACGGAAACCATAAAGTAATTGTTTTATAAAATAACAACAACACGATAGTCTTCCGTGTTTGGATGGCCTGATCCAAACACGGGTTTCGACCAATCAGAACACGCGTTATGTACATGTTATTTTATAAACGAATTTGCATGGCACTATAAATATGAGTGAAAATACTGTAGCGCCATCACGTGTAGCACAGACAGCCTTCTTAGTTTAAGCATGTCAAATACGGAGCCCACCGATATCGAACAACCAACGCCTGTTGCTAGTGGACAACTAAACCTCACCGAACAAGTTTTCGAACGATTCAAATCATATCTTGATCAAAAGGTTTCCAATTTAACCACCAATCTTACTGCCAAGGCGGACAGCAGATCTAAGCGTGTCGAGCGCCAAACTACAGGTCAACAACTCAAGCTTGCCGGCAACAAGGATCAGTTTCTTTTCAACGCCGAGTTACAAAACTCAATCGAGGAAAGTACCGAGTTACTGCAACACCAAGACGTCGAAGGGGCTTTGGTAAAGCTCGAAACGGCTCAGCAATCTTTACATCTACGACAGAAGAAAATAAAACTTGCTGACAAAAGCGAGGCTGGGTGGTTAGCGGTAGAAGAATACGAAGCTGAAGATCTCGCAAGCGATTCAGACGATGAGAAACGTATCAAGAAAGCCCAAGCGTCGGCAGTACGGAAGAAAGCTAAATCTAGACAGGCAAAGCCTATCAACCAGGCATCCAGGAACGAATTTGTTAATCGCTTTCCTGTTCATAGCGACAATCAGCTTTTTCGAGGTAACTCATGCATGGCCACAATAGGTATAAGTCTGTACGTAAGTAGCCCTTTCTTTGTAATATCAGCATGGTAGGCAAGTGCTCACACGTCGCCTACAATCTATATGTTGTGTGTGTAATTGATATAGCGAATGTAGAAGGAAAATGTTTTTCCTTCGGGCGACCACAGTGAGTAAAGAAGGAAAATGAATTTTCCTGCGGAAGTAGCGTAATAATAAGGATGCAAATTAGTATACGAATTTGCATAGCACTATAAATATGAGTGAAAATACTGTAGCGCCATTACGTGTAGCACAGACAGCCTTCTTAGTTTTACAAAACTAATTGCAAGTCTTTCGTTATGCATCCTTGCAAGTGTTTTATTTTATTTTATTTCAGGCCGTCGCTTTCCTAACACAACCGACACCTGTTTCCGGTGTGGAAAACGAGGGCATTGGGCCGAAACCTGTTACAAGTTCGACAGGCAAAGATCGGGTGTGCATACCTTCATCCCCACCAAGGGTTCCAACTTTGGGGAGTCTTCTGGATACGGATTTAAAGCCGGAAATAGTGGTAAATGATTACTTCGGCGAGGAACTTGAACGGGTCGAACAGGTAGACCATTTGGATTATGAATATATTTTTGAATTTTTGGACACGCATGAACCTGTCAATGCTGTTGGTCTGCCAAATGTCAAAGGCAGGCTAAAATCTCATTTAGCGTTTTGGACAGATATTAAGGCGCCTGATTTTATCATTGACTGCATAAGAGAAGGTTACAAGATCCCGTTTTATTCTACCCCGGAGCCAGCGACTTTTCCTAATAATCGCTCCGCTCACGTTCACGCAGATTTTGTTTCAGAAGCGTTATCAGAATTGTTATCCACGTGTAGAATAGTGGAAACACGTAAGGAGGACTTGGTCGTTATAAATCCACTTTCCGTAACAACGAACAAAAGTGACAAAAAGCATTTAATATTGGATTTGAGATATGTAAACAAACATATTTACAAGCAAAAGATCAAATTCGAGGACTGGCGTACCGCCATTAATTATTTCGGCCCAGGCACGTATTTCACAAATTTTGACTTAAAGAGCGGCTACCATCACTTAGACATATTTTCTGAACATCAGTCGTATTTAGGATTTTCTTGGCCCAATCCAGATGGGAGTACACGATACTATAGATTTACTGTCTTGCCTTTTGGCCTTTCTTCAGCTCCCTATATTTTTACCAAACTGCTTCGTCCCATAATTCGTCACTGGCGTGGTTTGGGTATTAGCACTACAATATTCCTAGACGATAACATCGATATGGAAAATTCACCTGAAATCTCTCACGAATATGCCACAATTATCAAATCAGATCTTTGCATGTCAGGCCTAGTTGCCAATGACGAGAAATCAACATGGGCACCAACTCAGAATATAACTTGGCTAGGTTTGGATTGGAATGGCGTAAACGGCACGATCGCCATTGCATCCCATCGCCCAGAGAAATTAAATTCTGCAATAACTACTATTCTTAATCAGCATCGAATCACAGCGAGGCAATTAGCGAGAGTAGTGGGACAGATTATTTCCACTGGCCCAGTTACAGGGAATTTGGCTGGTATCTTGTCCAGACATTGCCAAATGTCTGTTGCATGTGCAGCTAATTGGGACACAACATTTCTAATTGACGACTACTATCTCCAAGAACTACAGTTTTGGATAACAAACTTAAAATTAGTTAATGCTCGATCTTTTAAAGAATCATCTTCCAGTAACCGAACGATTTGTTCAGACGCCAGTGCCACGGCGTGCGGGGCCATCATTTTGGGAACAAATCATGTAGCACACAGAATGTTCACACAATCTGAACAAGAGACAAGTTCAACATATAGGGAATTACTTGCAATTCAATTGGCTATACAGGCCTTTGAACCACTGTTAACAGGTTGTAAAGCAAAACGATTCACTGACAGTCAAGTATAGCAATGAAAATTGCTCAGGTCGGGAGTATGAAATTAGAATATCACGAATTAGCAATTAGTATCTTTTCTACGTGTTTTCCAGCCAATATTCAGTCAGATTTGCAGTGGATACCCCGAACATCAAACGAACAAGCCGATTATGTTAGCAAGTTAAACGATTTTGATGACTGGGAAGTCGTACCAGGCATATTTGAGCAAATTGACGCTCAGCTTGGTCCTCACACTTTGGATTGTTTGCAAATTCCAAAAATGCAAAAGTTTCCAGATATTTTTCAAGGTTTTGGAATCCGGACACGACCGGAGTGGACGCGTTTTATCAGGATTGGTCCAACGAGTTTGCGTGGGTTGTCCCACCCATATCGATTGTACCGAGGGTTCTTTGGTTCATGTTTGAGAATAAATGTAAGGGAACGTTAGTAACTCCCTACTGGCCATCGGCGGCTTACTGGCCTTTACTAGTCAAGCAATTTGTGGCTTTTGTCAGAACAACAATCATAATTAAAGGCAACGTAGCGTTACGCCAAGGGAGTAATTCGAAATCGTTGTTAGGTTCGCCAGATTGGCAGGGAAATGTTTTGGTGTGTTCTCTCGATTTTTCAGACTAATATTGTTAGCCCATACAGTATACGAGTGTAAGAGTGTATTATTAAATAGATCAAAATGCATGTATTTGTTCAGTTTTTGTTTTCA